GCCGGCACCTGCAGCAGGCAGCCCTCGTTTTGATCAGTGCAGCTGATGCCAGCCGGCAGCCTGAACCTGGGAGCGGGGCAATGGGTCCAGCACATGCATAGGTGAGGCGATTCCCGGGGGCTCTCGGAGCTGTGAGATACAAACGCGCAACGCATGAGGTGCCGAGGTTGCTTCACTGTGGGCGTGGCGCATCACACCTTCACCTGCACCAAAGCCCCCTGGCGTACAGGCTACACCTGCAAGTCAAAGCGCAGAGCGCAGAGCGCCAACAAACGGAGAGTCGAATCAAAAAGGGGGACTGCCGCTTGGCTCACTTCAAGACGTAGTCTCCCTCCTTGCCGCCCCACCCGCTCCCCAGCATGTAGTAGTAGCGCTTGCCGTCCCCGTAAGACCCGTCAGCCCTGACGAGCTGGTGCTCCGGCTTGTCAAAGCACGCCTGTGTGGCCTGCTGGCGCGGCAGGGGGCAGACGCTGAACCAGTGCCGGCCCCCGTGCTGCGCGTTGATGTACAGGCCGAAGTTGACAACCTGGCCGGCGGAAAGCGTGGCTGCAACAAGGATGGTGCGGCAAGGCAGGGCCGAGGAGAAGCAGAAGAGGGGGGTTATGAATTCAGACATCGGGGAAATTCCCTTATTGTGCTTGGTTTAAAGCTGTTTCAGGCAGTTCCCGGAGCGAGGGATGCTGTTGGGCAGCAACAGGGTGACCGGTCGGGTTGTAATGAGACGAGAAGCTTCTCAACAGCTTGAGGTGGCGCCGCTGCCAACGCCACGTTTATCCGGCGCTGCACGCACCTTGCGGGCCAAAGTAGAGGCTCGTGACATCCTGGCCACCCTGGCCTGGGGCTCCACAGATGTCTGCGGTGCGTGTATGGCGTGTTCGTGCCACGTCAGGCGGCAGGGGTGGGGTGCTTGTACACACGTTTGGGACACAAGCTTGCATGGCTGGCTAGGACGAGCAGCAAGCACAGGAACGAAATCCAATAAAATCCTGCTGATCCAGTGGATCGAAGTGGAATTGCCTGAGCTGGGGCACCGGGCGGAGCCTCCAGCACCAGGCCTGGCCAAAGCGTTATGTTCGCACCTGGCTGCGCGCCCGCACGGCCCCCCTGCATGCAGTGTGGGCAGCCGCCGACGTTGCCGACCCCCAGCTCGTTGGCAACAACCTGGCGCGCCTTGGGGTAGGTGATGTCGCCTGCAAGCAGGCAGGGGGGGCCGGTAGAGCGGCGTTTCGGCACAATCAGTGAAGTAAAGTGGTTGCACGGCTGGCAACGGCTGGGACGCAGGTAGGTGGCTGCCATGCGTGGATGGCCTGTCAAGTCGTCGTGTTACAAGCACTGCATGGGGCTATGTCCCCGCTCGGCATCACAGAAGTATTAAGGCCGCCCATCAAGAGCAGCAGGTCCCTGTTCACCGTGCGCGTCAGCGCCGCGCCCTGCCAACACTGCCAGCAGCACCGGCAGCACGAGCAGCAGGGCAGCAACGGCCCGGGCGGCCCGTGCGGCGGGGCCGCGCGAGTGCGTCGCTTGCATAGCTGCGTAGCCGAATAACCTCGCAGTCGAAATCACTGCGCTTGAACAGGTGTAATTGGCATCCCCAACCCTCGCTGTTCGGCACGCAAGAAGAGGTTTGGCCCGGTCGCTGCCGCTCCACCCAGCAACGGGTGCGGGTGCGTGATTTGGATTATGTCGAGATGAAAAGCCAGGCACAAGTTCCAGAGCCGGGTTTGACTTGACATAAGGGATTATCTTTTTCGCGGCGTCGTTCTCCAGTGCTTCCGATGACCTCGCTCGCCTAGCACGACCACAGCAGGAATATTGCAAAGCACGAGCTTACACGTGAATTGCGCGAAACTATCGGAACAGGACACAAGACAGCCCTTATGTCACCAGCCGGCCACCCCTCAGCCACAGCCCTCAACCCCTCATCGTGGGGGGTACTCAGACACAAACAGTGCAGCCCTGCGCCAGCCAGGCACGTCCGTCAGTAGATGCCCACCCCTGAGCAACTGGGTGTGGGGCGCGATACTTGCGTTGGGCAGGGAGCAGGCAGGTGATCCTTGAAGTGCGCTTTGTGCCTATGATGCAGCTACACGATGACTTGATTTGAATGCCAGACCTCTAAGATATGAAACAGGTGGGTAGGAGACGGGGCTTTCCAGGTGCAGCAGCAAGGCAAGCAAGGAAGGGTGATCGGCAACGTCAACAACCGTGTTCTCGGTACGCACATGATACAAGCCGCGCCCGTCTCTGCCTCAGAGCTGGAGTTGAGCCCGCTCACACTTCGCTCCTTCGCACAAGTGCGGACCTCTGATAGCGACGCCAAACACAGATGTTTCAGGGGCAGGGACGCCCTCTCACGCATCTCGTGACAAGACCCTGCGTCTGCGCTGTTAGTACTGAGCGTTTGCCTTGAAAGGGAGATTGTTTGCAGGTAAGTGATGAAGCTTTTTCGCACAGACACACAAAGCTCGTGGTAAAGTGATTGTACAAGGTTGCATGCATAGCGCCGCACAATCTCGACACCCCCAGCGCGCTCGTCCTGGCGGAGCAGAGCCGCCTGCCACTCACACATGCCTTTGTTGCTTGCCTTGCCGCCTCTTCGCATCCTCTTGGCCTTCTCGCAGGCCCATTGTGCTATCCCAACTACTAATTTAGACCAAGGCATACGCTGGTAGCGAATTGTTTGGTGCCGAGATGACGGTGCTATACTCAGGCTGTGCAAGG